ACGCCTCGTTCAGTGTGGCAAACACAGCCGCACTAATCATCTTCTGCTCTGTTGTGGCCGTTTGGGATATCTGTAACGAAACCAGATTAACAAACCATTTTGTTGTGGACATGGAAGAGGGGAGAACATACCTTATCAGGATGCACCTTAGCAATAGCCTTCATGTAGATGATCTTGACCTTGTTCGGCATGACCAGATCACCCATGTTGACCTTCTTCCATCCTGCATCCTCCCAGAGCACTTTATCTAAACTACCCAGTAACGCACGCAGGTTATCTGACTTGGTACCCTTCCAAGCAATGAGTTTGGCATCGACTTGGTCGGTAAGGGCGAATTTCTCATCGTCTGCACGTTCGGCGGCGGCGTTGGCGGCTTTCATGCGTTTGACGGCTTCGGAGTCATTGGTAGGACCACCACCGAGATCCGACATGGCAGAGGGTCTAGGAGCAGCGGGCTTGCGGGCTGGAGGTGGGCGTTTGGCAGCTGCTGGGGCGTTGTTATTCCCACTTGCGGCCTTCTCACAGCGGTTGCGGCCGGAAATGGCGATTGCGCCGCCTACACCATTTTGAACGGCTTCTTTCCATACGCCATGTGCATCTGCCCATTTCTCCATGTTCTCCAATGCTTCGGCTTTTCGCATGAGAGCTTTGCCATAGAACTCCTTCATGTCTTTTTCGCCTTCCATTCCACCCGTAGCAATTTTCTCTCCTTCTCCTCTTGACACGCCAATTATCGCCAAAGCCGAGTCAGCATCAGCAATTGCCGCCTTCGGGTCGCCGACTTTGATGTTAGTAACTGCGCGATTACAGAGTACAATTATCGTAACTGGGTGATTGCTTGGCAGAGGACTCAGCGCAGAGGAATAGGCAGCGTGTGCAGCAGAGTAGTCCCCACGCTTGAATGCTTCGGAGCCTCTTTGCCGGTCGGCTGAAGATGAGCTGAGCGCGGAGGATGACACTGGAGGTATTTGCCGGGGCGGTGCTTTTGGCCTGGGTGGCGTTGGCGTAGGAGCCGGACTTCGAGCTTTCTGGGATGATGTTGCTTGGAGGAATGGATTGTTGGATTGAGCAGGCGTTGGTTGGCGCGAAGACTGCTTTGACGGCGGCGTGGGGTCTGGAGAGAAAAGATCCACTTCAGTCTGCGGCTGTGGCTGCGGTGTAGTCTTCTTCCGGCGAGCAGGGCTGATATATGCTTGAGAGCTTTGTTCCTCTACCTCTTGCCGAGTCAATCGCGTTGCTGGTCGTTTGTCCAGACTTGATGGTTGCTGTCGCTGTGACGGCGATTGCGATGACATGCGATCTGGGTAACCGTTTCGTCCGGTTTCTTGCTCTCTTCTTTGTCGTACAGGTAGCGGTTCGGCTTGGTGGCGCATGTCGCTCGTCCGGGATGGCTTCGTGGGACGCCCACCAGCTTCCAGCATCATGGCCTCGTCTGTAGCCGACGCCTCGGCCTTTTGCTGTCGACTTGAACGAGGAGCAGCTTCCGCAGCCTGAGCGTCTCTCATCCACTTTGGCATGTTTGGATCACCCTCCTGCTGGAAATCGGCCATAGCCTTTTGTACTTGTTTGCGGCCCGTCTTCCAGAGAGAATTCGCCGATTTGAACAGGTTGTTGCCAATCTCTGAAGCCATTTGGGTCACATCCTTTTCCTGACCTTCCTGTCTACGTTGGCCTGAACGACTTCGCGCTTCATCGTCTTGCATCCACGCGGGTCTAGAGCCGCTTGCCCGTGGTTCTCTCGACGACTCCCGCCCATTGGACCTGCTGTTTCCCCGCCTTGGGCGCTCGTCAGACTCATCAGGCTCTCCACGTGATCTGTCCTGGCTCTGCGAATGCGTCTTCTGTTTCGCCTCGGCATGCGCCTGGTTTAACAGCCATCCTACAGCAGCCTGCACGTCGAGCCCAGAATCAGTGGTCGCAAGAGCAATCGCCGACCTTTCAGCTGGAAAGCCCATATCCACAAGTTCAGCAACAGCTTTGTCATGCGCGTTCTGAGGGCCTGGAGAAGTTCGTTGTCGAGATTCCTCCACGGGCGCTGTCTGAGGCTCCTCTTTGTGCTGGAATTCTGAGACTGGCTTTCCTAGCAAGCCTAGTATATCGTCGTCGGCATCGATGGTCGTTAGTGCTGGAGCAGGCGACGTGGACTTTTGCGCCATCTGTTTGAGACCAAACATATCGTCATCGTCGTCGAGAAGCGCATTGTTGCCGGAGGAGGGCTGCGGTAGTGGTGTGTTGCCTCGGGAGACGTTGGCGCTGTAAGCAGGAGTGCTCCTGCCGCTGCTGTGGGTGGGGACGGGAAAGTGGCTTGAGCGGTCTACGGGAGCTGCCGAGTTGAATGCTGCTAGAAGATCAGCCTCGCTGGGTGAAGACACCTCAGGTCGTCTCGAAGAGGTGTCCAAGCCTGCGAAGGGCTTATTGATAGTCTTGGATAGGCCGTGGTTGGTGAACGGGTTGTTCGAAGGACGCGGTGCGCCAAATGCCGCAGGTTCTGGCGTGCTCTTCCCACTTCCCAACGTGTCCCAATGCGTCGACTCGGCAGCTCCGAAGGTTGTATCCCATTGCTTCCTCTTCTCCGCCTCTTGTCTTGCCTTCTCCTCTTGTATCTGCTTCTGTCGTTCTTGTAGCGACAAATTGTTGGTCGGTGCTTTGGACTTGTTGGAGGACACGAGACCAGCGAAGCTATCGTTTGCGGGGGTCGCTGGTTTTGAGGGCACTTTGAACGGCTGCGCACCGCTGGAGCCAGCTCCTAAGCCCGATGGTTGCGCGGAGAGCGAAGAGAGGGGTGTGGATCGACCAGAGAGCTGAGGCGTGGGGCTCTGGCGGAAGGGTGGGAAGGCCGCGGGGGTGTTGACGGGCTTTTTGGCGGGCTGCGACCAGTCGAGACCGGCTAGGTCGTCCATGATGTCTGTTCTTGTGCGTGAAGGATTTCAATGAGTGTGTAAAGGGAATGGTATCATAATGGCGGGCTGGATGTTGGCATCGGTATTAGGTGTATTGACCGCTTCACGATGGTCGGTCGCGCTTGCTGGTTATGCGCCACAGAGCACAGCCACATCACGTGATATATGCAGGGTCTAAGTAGCCGCGATGCTTTTTGGGCCGTTTCGACTACCTGAGCATGTCTGCATGGTGTTTGCAGGCAGCTCCTGGTAAGAATCGGAATGTCAACATTTGCGAACATGATTTGTTAGGATAGTGCAGTTATGGAGAGCAGCACCTCTACTACAGAAGCAAGGAAGATCTTCGCTGTTGCAAAGGCAGGAAGAGCCGACATAGATGTCGCAGATAGAGTGCTATGGAGCCCCATCTTCGCAGCTCCCGCGGGGCACGGACTCGTATGGCTCGGATGCGGACCTCCCTGCCTTCTTGGACCGCATGCCTGCAACGATACCGGGTACCCTGCCAATGCATTGGTGCGAGCAGTTCCTCCGAGCCGACCGGCTCAGTATCGATTGCTGGGTAAACAACAAGTAAACAAGCGGCAAAGGATTCTTACTGCGGAGTCGGGCAACAGGCACAAATGGAGTGGGCGTATCCGGGTCCACAATTGGCAAGTTATGATGCGGTCAGTGGGCACCGTCGAACCGCGACCGCGGAGATGGTGGCAGTAGCACGTCCTGGCGCGAGCGGACTGTCCCGACTGTGCGACCCCTGAGCAAAGCTTTGCAAGGCTTTGTTCCCCAATGGCCTCACATCAGGACGATTTGGCTCCGTGGTCTCACATTGACTCGGGCCGAAGGAATCTAGTCATTCATTACTCGTAGACGGCACGGTAACCGAAGCCGCGAGGCCTTAGTGGTGTTGGCTCCAAAGGATACCAGTTGCTTTCGGCAGTTGTGCAGAAAAATTCATCGTCTCGCGAAGGTTCTGTCGGACTGTGCACGCAGTGCGTCTTATTAGGCTGATCATAACAGCCAGCTCGTAGCTGGACGGGAGACAGTCGACACTCGGCGCTCAGGCACAGGCAGCATGGCGGATTTGCCGAGCCGCGAACCCGCGCCCACGGTATCAGACTTGACCACCCGCCCATCCCCGAAGGAAGCGAGGGCCAGATGACTCAAGTGCGCACACTACGCGTGAAGAATCTTATGCCAGGAGAATCTGCGCGAATCTAGGTTTGGATGCGTATCCATGGTGATGCTGATCGTGCAGAGATGAAGCAGTTGGCCGATGGGCGACAGCACAAATGGTACCTAGGTAATGAGGTTGCATTTGATATATGCAAGCGGTTCGCTGGCTAGCCTGAACGGGGTCAAGACCGGTACCAGGTAGAGGTATCTGGTGGCTAACCGCAAGTGGGAGTTGGTGCGTGCCGCCAGGCTCGCGGTTGGAGCGAACGGCTCAGGTACAAGGCACCAACTATGCCTGGAGGGGAACAAAGGGCGAAGTCGCGGTCGCAGCTACTCCGTATAGACGCGACGAGAACAAGCAGTCGGGACCCTGCGGTGTGGAGCGGACTCCGATACGCATGGAGAAGCGGGCGGCCGAGTTGGTCTACACGAGAGACTCAGGAACAGGACGCTCGAGGGAGGGATGATTATTGCTAGCGTCGTCTATCGTGCCGTCCATTGACGCGGAAGAGCAAGGGGCAGTCGGTCGGCGCGACTGTGCTGGCCAGGGTGGACAGGTACTATACATCTGCAAGCGACGCGTCTGTCTGGCTTTCTGCTCCTCCAACTCGCAACTCATCGCCTGGACTGGGACCCGCCTGATTTGCAATTCATGACTGCCCGGGTAGTAGTCTCTACACAAGGTTTTGCTACCAGCGCACGTGTCGACTCCCTTGCATACTAAGCTCCACCAGCGCAGTCGCTTCCGGATTGTTTGTCCAGGGATCTCCCGGCAACGGTTCCGCACTGCCAGTAAGCGCGGGCCTGGCACAGAACCATCGCTCTCGAGCATCCTCGCCCAGCTTCAACGTGCCTTCCTACTCCCCAGCAAACCTCGCCAGAAACGCTCCTTCCGCCAGCTCCTCGCGCCCTCCGTCGCCGCTGCCTCCGATGCGTCTCTTCAACCGCAAGGGCTCCAAGCCCCAGGTTTCTCCCAACGGCAGCCAGCCGAACAGCTCCAATGGCTCCCTGCGCTCTCCTGGACCCACCCCAAACGGCTCTCGGCCTACAAGCTTCCCAGACGTCCCTCTGCCAAAGGCCCCGGATCCAACCCTCGACCCGGCCGGCTACCTGCGCAGCATCTACGCCGTGCGCGAGCGCTCCAAGTTGGTGCTCGAAAAGGCCAAAAAGAACCAGCTCAAGCACTTTACTGTCGACATGAGCAAGTTTGGCGATGTCGCCCGCTTTGTTGTATCGATAATCAAGGTAAGCCTCATTTTGTTGCGCAAGGATGCCATGCTGGGCCGCCTCCCTCTAACCTTGCCTGCAGCGCGACTATGCCCCCGACTACGCATCCATCCCACCCCACGGCCGCTGGCAGCACTTCGATGTGGGTGGCCGCCCGCGAATCGACCAGCTCATGGCGTCATGGCCATCGACCGTCGACAACCAAGAGCGCACCCGCCGCCTAATTGATCTCTTTCTCGTCTCCGTCCTCCTCGATGCAGGTGCAGGCACCAAGTGGCAGTACAAGAGCAAGGAGTCGGGCAAGATCTACCGCCGAAGCGAGGGTCTTGCAGTCGCCAGTCTGGAGATGTTCAAGTCCGGCGCATTCAGCAGCGATCCCAGAGAGCCCTTCCAGGTCGACAGTGCGGGGCTGAAGAAGCTCGACGTCGCAACAGTGGCGCGTGGCTTGCAAGTCAACGCCACAAACCCAATAGATGGCCTCGAGGGTCGCACCAGTTTGCTGCTCCGCCTAGCAGAAGCCCTGCAAAATCAAGAAGTCTTTGGTCTCGAAGCGCGGCCAGGAAATATGCTCGGTACGAACACCATCCACAACTCATGATATTGGCTAACACTGTCAGACTACCTCCTCTCGCACCCCACCACACAAGCATCATCAGTCCCCATTATACCCCTCCCCACCCTCTGGAATACTCTCATGGACAGTTTGACCCCCATCTGGCCGGCAACGAGGACCCAAATCGACGGTGTACCCATGGGCGACGCCTGGCCGTGCTCCGTCATGCCATCGCATCCTACCCACCCGTGGGAGAACATTGTCCCTTTCCACAAGCTGACACAATGGATGACCTACTCGCTTATGGTGCCAATGACGAGGCTACTCCACGTTCACTTCCCCGGCGCTGAGCTTCTGACGGGATTGCCAGAATACCGAAACGGTGGACTTTTCATTGACGTCGGCCTCCTAACACTCAAGCCCGAGGACCAGAAGCGCGGTCTTGCACAATATCAACGCAACGCACAGGTGACAGGGCAACCAAGCATGGAGGTTGTGCCGATGTTTACCGCCGACGATGACGTGATCGTGGAATGGCGCGCAGTCACTGTAGGGTTACTCGACGATCTCCTAGTCGACGTAAATCAGCTGTTGGGCTTGAGCGGCTCGGACAAGCTTAATCTGGCCCAAATGCTGGAAGCTGGTAGTTGGAAGGTAAGTTTGGCATGATTCCCATGTTCTGGATGTAACTGACCCACAACACTAGGGAGGTCGAGAGATTGCTGAAGTGTCGCGGCCCAACACTAAAGAACCGCCAATCATGATCCTCTCGGACGGCACTGTTTTCTAAGATACCCCTTTCTTCGTTTGTTCCGCCCTTCCTTCGCTTCCTTCACATACAGACATCGTGCAGCGGAAGCACGTATCCGATACCCACGAGGCACCCTTGCCCCAGCCGCCCCAGTACCTTCTAATTATGGCCAAGTGGATGGGATTTATGATACACGATCTTGACGGTCGCATTTGGTGGACAGCTTCTTGTTTATACGTTCTGCTTTGTCACACCAGCCACGTTTACGTTTCATTCTACTTTGGAAGCGCTGGCGGCTTAAGATTCATTTCATGTGTTGTAATAATTCCTTACCATGACTTTTGGAATCTTCATAGCCACGTACCAAAGCCTTTTGAACAAGAGCTGGCGCCTTCGCTAATCTTCACAACCGGGCATTCTGATCTGACTAGAGCTCCATGAACATAATATAAGAAATACTATGATGCGCATCGCTTTGACCACACTGTTGATAGCATGGATGACCATCGCGTTTGCGGAGTACGGAAGTGCCCCACTCACCTGCCAAGAAGAGACCCAAAACCGCTCGGGGACGCCAAAGCTCGCCCAGGCGTGCTGTTTACGATACGTCATCCCATCACCAAATTCCGCCCAACGGCTCCATATTACTAGACGCTGACCACTGCGCGTTCGCTACCAAGCTCACCTTTGCCGCGCGGCGGTCTTCGAACGGCGCACCTTATCGCGACCTGCGCGTAGCTTCTTTCCACAGTCGGAACGCTATCACCATGAACTCGATCAAACGGCAGAAGCAGCGCAAGGTGCTGCTCATGGGCAAAAGCGGAGCCGGAAAGTCATCGATGAGAAGCATCGTGTTTAGCAATTACGTCGCCAAAGATGTCCGAAGACTGGGTGCGACAATCGATGTTGAGCACAGCAATATCAAGTTCATGGGAAACCTCATGCTCAATCTATGGGACTGTGGAGGGTGAGCCCATCAGCTACCAGACCAAACGAGGACACAAACTGATCTTTCGCAGTCAGGACGGCTTCGTCGAGAACTACCTCAACCAATCTAGGAACCACGTCTTTGGCTCCGTCGCCGTCCTTATCTTCGTCTTCGACATCGAATCGCGCGAGTTCGCAGCCGACGTCGTCTCCTACTCCAATATCATTCGCGCCCTCCACGAGTGCAGTCCCAATGCCAAAGTCTTCTGTCTCATACACAAGATGGATCTTGTACAAGCCCGCCTCCGCCAGGCCATGTTCGACGAGCGCGCCGAGTACATCCGGGAGGCTAGCGAGGGGTTCAAAGATACGGTCGAGTTCTTTGCGACAAGCATCTGGGACCAAAGCTTGTACAAGGCCTGGACAAAGATCATCTACTACCTGATCCCGAACGCGGGAACGATTGAGGCACTGCTGGAACAATTGGCCGAGGTTATTGATGCCAGAGAACTCATTCTGTATGAGCGTACAACTTGTCTCACAGTGGCACATGTCACAAGACAGACTGAAGAAGCGAACCCTTTCACTGATCGGTTCGAGCGCATCTCAAGTATCCTTAAGACGCATAAACAGAGTATGGCGTACGTACCTGTCCTCCAACCAAACAACCATTCAAGACTTGGCTAACACTCTTTTCCCTCATAGGAAACACACAAATATTCCCGCCGGCAGCGCAAACTTCGCAGAAATGCAAATCAAAACTGGTCGCTTCATGTTCTTCATCACACGTCTCACGGAAAACACAAACCTCGCAGTTACCATCCCGCCTTCCGAACAGGTCTTCAACGCCGCCCGCGTGAATATCTTCCAAGTACGACCGAAGTTTGCCGAACTCGACATCGCTGCCAAACCTAGACCTCCGATTCAGACTGCGTTTGCAGGGAGCGCGGATACGAGTGACAGCACAGATAAAGGGAAGCAGAAGGAATCCGGATACGGATCTGGGGTCTAGACGACGCCTGAGCACAAGAGGGAGATGAAAAGGATCGAAAACTTAAAGGATAGCTTTACGCGGGACTTCCAGGATAGGTTGGGAAGCGTCGACCCTTCAGCAGAAGGGTATGAGGAAGTCCTGGATCAAACTAACCGGGCGACGACATTCTTACATAACTATCATAATTTCGAGGCCCTGCGGGCTTCAGAAACGTCGCCAGCACGCAAAGAGGCGGAAGGAGCTTCAGATACTCCCCCGATGAACGGGCAGCCAACGCAGGCAGGCGTAGGTGGTTCTGATGTTCTACCTTCGACCGCGAGTTGAGTCGTCTTTCGGCAACCGTCTTCCAGCAAGTACATCATGGAGATTCGGAGACAAATTCTATAAAGTCCTGGAATCCAGTGCTGTAACAACCCAGCTCAATTGGCTAGTTGAGAGCTTGGCTCAACATTGAGAGGTAGCAGATGTAGCTGTATCCCGAGCGATTACAAAGACATGTTGAAGATACCGATTCTTGAAGATCCTCGGATCCCTATCTATCTGGATATGGCGGCTTCCCTCTTTTTGCGCCACATGCGTGACGGCGATATGCATGCGACTCATGTTAGCCTTCGCCTCGACATCCCACCTGCGACATCGGTCAAGACGGACAAGCTGACTAGTATTCCTGGATCCCATGCGACAATACCCGACTATCGTGATCGCGCTGAGAAAACGACACATTCATATCTACACAGAGAGCGAGCCAGGTGCGCCCCGTGCAGGTGCCCAAGCGAAGAGACTCAGGCAGCCATCAGCACCCCCGCCAAGACTCACTCTCACCACAGACGTGCATCGCGCAGGTCTCGATCTGCGCTACCTTGCTAGCACCCATGCTGCAGATCCAAGAAATCACAAGAAGGCACATCCAAGAGAAAACGGTTGGTGCACAAGCAAGGCCAAGCGAGAATGCGGGGAAAACAACCTTTGCCTTTGTCTGGTCTTAATCACGCAAAGCCTTGGGCTAAAAAACGGGGCAGGACGGCTTCGCCTTTCTTGGTTGAAAACAGCAAGGAAAAACCTTGAAGCGCTGATGTCTTGCTAATTTGCACAGCAACTGAGGCACTCGTTGTAATTCCGGAGTATGGTACTTGCGATACAAGTGGCCGCAGCACCGGGCTGATATATTAATACCGATCCATCGGGAACCCCGTGGGCTTGTAATGCATCTTTGTGCATTTACGTATGCATGCAGATATGGCGATGAGTCTTGTGTTACATTGCACCATGCCGTCATGTGAGATCCTCGTTCGCTCCAGCTGAGAAGTGGGTGGTATGTGGCTTGGCCTTGGGTATACCAAGATGGAATGACTGGGAAATGCCAAGGTGCGTGTAGTGTATACGGCTAGTTTGAGGGTGGGACTGAATAGCTGTGCCCGTTCTGTTGCTTCCGCCTTTACTGTATCGGTTGTGAGCGCACGATGCTCCGTGGTATCGAAGAAGCGCCGAAGCCGCGTATCTAGAGCCATGGATTTATATTACCCGGAGTACCTCGCGGCTTGTAACATCGGCACCAGTCTTAACCCCTCCTGGCCCTTGCTTCATCGCAGCAAGGCGTGAAGACAACCGTCAAAGCCCGGCCAAGCCTGTTACCCAAGAAGACCAAGTATTCCGCCTTACCATTTTGTAGCCACCAACGTTGGCCAACTCCTAGCTATTATGCGGCGATTACTTACCCTGGTCTGTCGCTTCATGACGCTATTGGCTGGTAAGCTGGCACCGCGTGATCGTGTCTGAGCATTTTGTTGATGGATGGGAATGGTTGCATGTGTGAGGATCGGTATTGGCATTGATCCAAGACGGGGAAACTGCAGCTTTTGGCATTGAAGCAGTAAGCCTGAATGACACAGACATATAAGCATGCCTGTTCGCTTGGTCTCGTATGATGAATTTCTCTTGTGTCTTTTTTTTTTCTGTTCTCGCGTCTTGCTGGAAGCTTTCCTGAAGCTATTTCCACTTGGAGTTTGACGCAAACATACTCAACCTCAAGTGCGCACGTCCGACTCTAGTGTGACCATGGCGGAACCTGAAAAGGAGACTAAGATTGAGTAAGCTACTTGCCGAAAACTGCAGACGACTGTGATATGATGCTCAAGCCTTACTAACAGTGTTTCTTCCAGTCCAGTAGTAGTGGATGAACACCACGAGCGCAAGGCGTCCATCTTCGACGATGAAGCGAAGCGCAAAGAGAGCGTCGCTCGCCTAACAACCAATCTCGAGGGCGAGTAAGTAATCTCCTGTTTGATCAAGCCCACCAGCCACAGGCATATTGGTTTCTGAGACTTCTCAAACGGTATGCTCTAGACGCGCTCATACTAACAAGCCCAGAATCCGCAACCCACTCGTCGACATCCCACGAGAGCAGCTCCTAGCCAACGTGCACGACTTCGCCACAGAACACCAACTAACCGACGTCGAGCCTCTCCTCGTCAAAGGCGCCCTCCTCGCCCAGTCACCCGCACTCTTCGAAGACCTCGAAGACCTCGATGAAAACGACCGCAACGCCATCCGCGAAGAAATCACCCACCGTTTCAAACTACCTCGTACACTCTACTATACCATTATCCTTAATTCCATCGCAGCAGCTATCCAGGGCTGGGACCAAACGGGCTCCAACGGCGCGAATTTGACTTTCGGTCAGGCGCTTGGTATTCCGGACTCTGGTCCGGTGTGTGAGGCGGCGGGGACGTGTGAGAAGAATGGGTGGATTATTGGTTTTGTCAATGCTTGTCCTTATATTGCTATTGCTTGTGAGTCTGAGATGATGGGAAATTGGGGAGGAGTATGCTAACTTTGTACTCTCACAGTGTTCTGTGCTTGGATCTCTGGTGAGTTTGCTTTGAAGTTGCTGTTATCTCATATATCCTCTTGCTAATGGCTCTAGACCCCGTGAACGAACTCTGCGGCCGACGTGGTACCATCTTCATCGCTGCCGTCTTTTCACTCTTGGCGCCATTCGGCATGGGTCTGAGCCAGACATGGGGCGAGCTTGCCGTTTGTCGTGTGCTTCTAGGTGTTGGTATGGGACTCAAGGAAGTCACCGTTCCTGTCTTCTCAGCGGAGAATGTTCCGGCTAGTG